GGGGATTTGCGTATCCCGACAAATCTATTCCTGTTTTTAGGCTCCTGATGGGACAAGATCTTTGGAATTAGTTCCAGCTCCATTTCCCGTTTTGTTTCTTCTAGGTACTTGTCCGTGATATGGATAACCTCGACCAGGATGTCACCTAGAAAGCTCCCGTGACGTTGAATTGAAATACGAGTCCTTGTTCCAGGAACGCGGTTGTTTTGGCACTGATTGGTATTGATGATAAGGTAACTACTTTCTTCCTATCCCCGTGCTGTTCAGTAAGTGTTGTCACTTTGGAAACCACTCCAACAGGGCGTACTGTCCTTAATTTAGGCTGTCTAAAAATCCCGAATTTACCAAACTTATTGTGATTTCCTGTCTGTCATGCTCTGGAGTTTTTGAAAATCTTCCGGAGACAGGATCCTGGCCAAATCACGCCGGAGCTTTGACTTAATATCAATAAATTTAAACAACTTATTGCGTTCTTTATCCTAGTTTCTGAATAGAAGCATAGTGACGATGCTCATTAACCTTATCCGAATGGTAAGGTCTCTTAAGGTCACAGAACTTAGGAGTGCTCTCCCAAAGGAGCACACAACACTACATCGAAATAAGCACGGTACAAATTAAAAAAAGTTAAGGTGTGATAGGAGGATATAGGAAATGTGAATAGCCCAGGGCAGAAGGGGAGATACCACAACTGTTTAGCACACGTTTGGTTAAAGAATTGTCTTTACTTGTCTCTTTGACGAGTTGTTGTATGGTGCTAAGAATGGCGATACTCACTGACCATGCCAGCAAAAGGTATGGGAATGTACCCCGTCCACGGTCCGACTTTGGAAATGAATATGCATACAATGAACTCCGGACTAGGTGTGTCCCTCTAAGTCTTCCTACCAATATGACCAAGTTGCGAAAACAAGGTCAAACAACCTCTATAATAAACGTGTTGATCATAGACGTGATCCATGAAGCACGTCTATTTTTAGCCAACTATCTCTAGTACCCGTCGTCTCTATCCTGTTTCTATCCCGAATACCAAGTCTATGATTTGCCATGCCCTAGTCTCTTGTGTTTCAACCCACAAATGTTGTGGTACTGCTTGTTTTGATTTGGTTCAATGTTGAACCACAACATTTGTGGGTTGGCACACAAGAGACTAGGGCATAGGAAGTCATAGGCTTCGTATTATAGATAGAACTATATATCTAAACAAACAAGGTAAAATTGTAATAGTGAAGATATGATAGGATGCTACCGGAAATGCGAATAACTCAGGGCAGAAGGGGAGATACCACAATTGTTTAGAACAAGTTTGGTCAAAGGATCGGCTTCACTTGTCTCTTTTACGAGCTGAAATGTGGTGATAAGAATAGCAAGACTCACTGCCGATGCCGGCGATACGTCTGAGAGTGTACTACGTCCAAGGTCCGACTTTGGAAATGATCATGCATACAATGGACTCCGGACTAGGTGCATTCCTCTAAATCTTCCTACCAATATGACCAAGTTGCGAAAACAAGATCAAGCGACCATTATTCAAAGAAAGGAGACTGCGACCACCTTGGCCTTAATATATTCGAATAAATTAGATCTTTAGATAGTGTCCGAGTAAATTAGAAATCCAATGGAAACGTCAACTCTAGTCATATGATTGTGGGAAAATCGACTACCAGTCCTTCATCATTATAGACGAAGTACGGTGAATAACTGGTTAATTATTGCGCACAAGGGCCGATCTGGAGGATTATTTTGAGCAAAATAACCTATATCATGTCCCATATTCCGTATTAAGCTTAGATGACAAATTAAAAAGGAAACTCCATTTACGTTACATGTATTAGTGTCCAGCATGGACACAGTTAAGCTGAGCCCCTACTCGAAATCCAACTATGAACGAGGGATTTGAAAAGTGAATTTAACTCGTTTTCACTATTGGTCTTGTTGTCAGTGCAACTTAGAACGCACTTTGTCCGAAGTCCTCTACCATAGCAGTAACCATAATTCTCAACACTAGACCATGGATTTGGTACACTCTCAGAATTAAATCAAAGTAAGATAGTAAATAGAGGAAAATATTTGTATTAAGACGGAAAATTGAGAACATCAGGGCGCAATGGGACAAAATGACTAGTAGATCGTTAAGGAATAAAATATATGGCCAATTGAGGGTTAATATGTGACAAAAAGAAAGCGAAGAGCGAGGGAAGAAGTAAATATTAGAAAACGGATAAATTAAGGAATAGTGAAACTAACGCAATCCAATTTATCGATCCGATTGGTGGCAGCTATCAAAATCAGTTGTCCTGGTTGTCCTTCGACACCGTCCATTGCGGTCAACATTTCACTTAGAACGTGTTCGCTAGCACATGTCTCTCTGGAGAATGAGCGTAGTCGATCATAATAACGATATTTTGAGTGTAATGTAAAAGGAAGCATAAAGATTTTGCTGAAGTCATTACACATTTTATTTAAAGTTAAAAATATGTTCTTATTATAAACATATGGTAGGCAAAGTGCCTCCTATGAAGTGAAGAGTAAGTTCAATGTGCTTGATAAAGACGACAGTTCACAGTAAGCAGCCATAGGCGAAACATCTAAATCAGTTATGATCAGCATTTAGATAGTGAATTATTTAGACATAAAAGGGCATTAATCTGAAAACGACCCTGCTTCTTCTACTGCTGTGTAACTATTCCTGTGGACAATGAATAAAGGAAAAAATCTTTTAAATGCAATTATATTGGAAATATGTTTTAGGCTAAGTCAAAGGACATGGGTCTCTTAGGTAAAGTGATTTCTTTGCTCAGATATATTCGAGTTATTTTACGCTCTTTTTCCTCGAAATCAATATTTTTGCAAAAACATGGTATGACAAATTTTTTCGTACTCATATCACCGATGAAGCAGATAATATTGGTTCTTGTGTCGGTTTTAATTAGTAAGTTATAAGCTGGCTTTCATGAGTTATTTATTTAAAGTGTGTGATGCAGCCTTTTCACTAATACCCTTGCTAGCAGTTGTATAAATACTCTGAAATGAACCCTTGGTTTGAGGAAATATTAATTCAAACTGATTATCAAAATATTACCAAAATTCATTTAACATTCTATGTCAATACGCTTTCCGAGTAAATTTACCCAGAATAAATCTGTCATCTTGGCTAAGTTAAACGTCCTGGAGCAAGGAGCGCAAAGCATCGTAGGAAACTGCATCACCTGCTTAGGTAAGTAGCGATCGGTTCGGAGATGATTATGGCGTTGATTTGTGATACACTGCATGGGCTTTAGTGAGGAATATAAATAATACCATCCTGGGCTTATCCAAACTCAAACCAAAGCACCTCGATTGGAGGGTATTGAAAGTCGCCCCGAAACAGTAATAATAAAACACTTGGTCTTCGTTGCATGTAGGTCCTCTAGAAACATCTCATATATAAAATTACCCTTACTGAATAGACCAAAATACACTTATAACTGTCAACGGCGCCAACTAAAACACTTACTTTGAGCTACGAGAGGGTAAAAGAAGATCGATCTCATCAATGAAGAGGATGGCCGGCGCTGAAGCTCTTGCTTGAACCAGAATCTGCCGCATGTTTCGCTCACTGTCACCGACATATCGGCCGAAGATACGCGAGGCCTGCACGGAGACGAGTGGCAAGCGACACTCAGTAGCCAAGGCACGAACAAACATCGTTTTTGAGCAGCCTGAGTGAAGAAATAATAGGAGAAACAGATTAATTAGCTAAAATTACCCGTCGCAAATACATTATCATGATGTTTTAAGTTGTGGAATACTTTGGAATCGAAAATCGAAGCCTACAAACCATTCTTACAGAGAAAACGCTAAAATATTACAAAGTCTGTGAATCATTGTTTCATGCATTGGATGGATATGAAAAATATCGCATTCATTGTTAGCAAAAATCAAGGGTTATGCACAATATTTTATAATAGGAATTTTATCCGTTTACGAAAGAAAATTAAATTATCTGATCAATCAAACGAGGCAACTATGCTTGATAAAAACCATAGCTAAAAAGTTTTTGTAAACCTAA